GGAAGAATAATCAGGATAAGAGAGACATACGAGTAACAAGAACACTACTAAGAATAAGAGTGCTAATATGAATAAGAATAAGAACAATGATAAGAATATGAGCTATACTAGTAATGACAATACGAACAAGGGTAAGAATAAGAGTAATAAAAAGAATAACAAGAATAATAAGCATAATCCGAATAATAATAAATGATCATGGGAATTCGAATAATATTAATAATAATAATAATCATATTAATAATAAAGAGGTAATAGTAATAATAAGCATAATGGTCAGAGCTCTCTCATTATCTGCATCATCCTTGTCCTATACGACTTGTATTACCACCCCTGTTGAACAATAGTTTTTTCCCCGGCCGTCGTGTGGTGTAGTGCATCCGAGGATATCGCCCCCGCCACGCACGGCGCGTTATCTTAGCACCCGCACCGCCAAAATTATGAGCCCCCCATCGTAGGCACGGACGGTTTCTTTTCAAAGCTGGGCTCTCCCTTGCTGGGGCGCCCCTGCTCGGAAGGCCGAGCGCTGGGAAGACGCGCGGCCACTCCAGTTCTCGCCCAGACCGACCACCTGACGCAGACTCGTCAGCGTCCAGAGCAGTTTCTGAGGATGTCTCAGGCGAGGCGCTTGTTTCAGAACCACAAGGAGACCATATTGCGAGAATGTCTCAGGCGGTTTGCTTGTTTCAGCGAGCAGACTCGTCTGCGTTCACATAAAAATGCGAGGTGCCAGGGTAACGCTTCTGGGGTGCCGGGTGCGTTATACTTTCGCCGGAGAGAGGGGGGGTCTTAATTACCGGATACGGTTAAACGACAGCCTGGGACCCGAAACGGGGCGAAAATGCCCGTTGCGACAAAAAATGCAACGCCAGGATATCAGGATTTTTCGATGCGTGGGCCCGTGAGGTCTGGACCATTCCCGTAGGGCCGGTTTTTCGTGCCGAATGGTGTTTTTACCATCCCAGGGCCCAGCGAGGGCCCCCAGAGCCCAAAAACCAGCACGAACCGCCCGCTCCAGTTTTGGAGGGCGTCGGATCTCTGAGAATGTCTGGGTTCGGCGGGCGCTGCCGAGCGGCGGCTGGCCAGCCGGCCGGCGGTGGGGAAACCAAACGGGCACCGATACCGCTACCACCCAGACCTTTCCCGGGGGACGTTCTGACCAGAATTTCGAGGCGAATCCAGCGGTGGCGACGAGGGCCTCCCAGGAGGCCCGAAAAGACGAAACAACGGCCGAAGGGTAGAGGTATGGGTATTATGGGTTTCTTCATAAGCGTGAGGGGTACCCCCCGACGGGGGTCAACCTCGCCTCGTCGTCGCGCCGCGACGGAGGTCGAAGCGCCTTCGGCGCGCGGTGGCTGCCCGCGACGGGGGTCGATCTGGGGCTGTCGGTGGGGGTAACGCCCCCCCGACGCTTATTCAGAAACTCGGAATGCCTTTTCCTCCTCCGAGGCGGGCCTCGGCGGGGGTCTCCCAGCGCATCGCCGCGGCCACGCCCGCGCCCGGGCCGCTGCGGCGGCCAGCCGGGCCGCGCGGGGCGCCGCCCACGGGCGCGCCAGGCCACGGCATCGCGGCGGAGGCGGGTGGCGGAGGCGCCCCGCCCGAGCTTTCTCCAGGCGCCGTCGTTACCCTCGCCCTGGTCGTCGCCCTCGCCCTCGCCCTGGCCATCGCCCTCGCCCCGGTCGTCGCCCTCGCCCTGGTCCTGGTCGTCCCCCTCGCCCCGGTCGTCGCCCTCGCCCTCGCCCTGGCCGTCGCCCTGGCCGTCGCCCTGGTCGTCGCCCCGGTCGTCGCCCTCACCCTCGTCGCCCTCGCGGAGCGCCTCCCGCCCCCCGCCGGTGCGCCGAGGGGCCGCCACTCCTCTCCCGCCGTGGCAGCAAAAAGGGCACGGCGAGAAGCTCCTGGACTTGTCACCTTCGGGAGCCCTCGCCTGGCCCCGCGGGCCGTCAACAGACGGCTCGGGATGAAAATCAGATCCCGGGGGCGGGGTCTAAACCTCTGGGGGGCCCACGCGGTGAGACAGCAACACACACCGTCGGAGCTCTGGACCTCGCCCTCGCCCACGTCGTCGTCGTCGTCGCCCTCGCTCTCGCCCTCGTTGGCGTCGTCCTCGGTGCACTTGCCCTTGCCCTCGCCCTCGTCGCCCTCGCCATCGCCCTCACCCTCGCCCTCGCCCTCGCCCTCGCCCTCGTCGCCCTCGCCCTCGCACTCGCCCTCGTCGTCGTCGTCGCCGTCGTCGTCGTCGTCGTCGTCGTCGTCGCCCTCGCCGTCGTCGTCGTCGTCGTCGCCCTCGCCATCATCGTCGTCGTCGTCGTCGTCGTCGCCCTCGCCGTCGTTGCCATCGCCCTCATCGCTCTTGTCGTCGTCGCCCTCGGCGTCGTCGCCGCCCACGTCGCCGTCGGCATCGCGGTGGCCACGCGGCGCGGGCCGTCAAAAATAGGCGCGGGTTGAAGAACTAGCCCCCAGGGAATACAGTCAACCCGTATAGTGAGGACGAACGACAAAGGATGCAAGGGCCTTGGCAGGCCATTCCGAGGCTTTTCGAGCGGGGAGCGGCCAGTGAAAGTGGCCCAGGATGGGCCGAAGCGGCAAGGAAGCAAGGGTACCCTTGGGAAGGTTGCCCTTCCTCGTGATGCGGGTTGGCTGTAAGCCAGGACCTAGGGGGCTGCGCCGCCGTCGTCGTCGAGGGCCAAGGATGGAGGCTCGAGGATCGAAGTCCGACGCTCGAGGATCGACGACCGAGGCTCGAAGATCGGGGGTCGAAGATTTGAGGTGCCTCTGGACGCCCTAGCTTCTTTCGTGGCCTCCAGAAACCTCTGGACGCCGCCGTGGGCCCCGGGAGACCTCCAGAGAGCGGCACGTCAGAAATAGGGACGGACAAAAATTAGAGCGATGCCCAACGGCAAACGCTGTGCAAAACCAACGGCGGTCGCTGTTGGGTAGGCGACGTTCGCCCCAAACGGAAAACGTCCGCGACGGCACCGACAGCGAGTCCTGTTCAAAATGGGCAGGAGCTGTTGTTGGTCGTTGTCCCCATTGTTTCTGTCCCCGTCTCGGTCCCCCCGAAGGGGGCCCCCAGCAGGCCTCTGAAGGCTTCTGAAAGCCTGCGAGGATCTCTGGCAGGCTGCGTTGTCGTCGTCGCGGGCCGATCTGGGCTAGAGCCCGCGACGACGACGTCGACGCAGCTATACCTCGAAAATTGACTTTTCCGCCGGATATATACAAGAAACACGTCGAATGTCCGTAGATCTACCAGACAGTATACGTATATATGTGTTATTTGATTCGGCGGGAAAATTGATTTTGGGGGGCAAGTCAATTCTGCGGTCGATCCCCTACTCGAACAACAGAGCCCTCCGCAGGATCGAGGATGGAGGCGAGAGGATCGGGGACCGCAGATCGAAGTGCTTCTGGACGCTCCGGCCTTCTCGGGGGGCCTCCAGAGGAGGTCTCCAGGGACCTCCGGGAGGCCTGCAGGAGGGCTTCTTGCACAACCAGGGCCTCCAGGGAGGTCAACGTCGACGTCGTCGTCGAGGCAGGTCGCCGTCGTCGTCGACCGTCGTCGTCGATCGTCGACGTCGACGTCGACGTCGACGTCGTCGTCATCATCGTCGTCCTGCTCGTGTCCCTATTCTAGCTTGCGCTCATGAACCTTCTCATCCTTCTGGTTTCCTTGCCATCCTCATCATCCTCATCCTTGTCGACGTCGACATCGTGGTCGTCATCAACAGCTTCCTGAACCTCCTCATACAGCTCCTGATCAGCATCAGCATCAGCATCAGCATCAGCATCAGCATCATCACGGTGTTCATGGTAATCATGGTAATCATGGTAATCATGGTAATCATCATCCTTGCAATCATCATCATAATGCTTCCTCATCCTCATCCTCCGCAGTATCATCAAAAAGATAATCATAGTCATAAGAATCCTGATCATTGCTCGTCCCTTCACCCAGAGGTCTCCGGGAATTTCTGGATGAAGCCTCCGAAGACCTCCAGAGCCTTCCGGAGTACACCCCCTCTCAAAAAAAAATACGGGAGAAAAATCTATCCTTCCGAAGGGCCCAATGGAGCTCCCTGTGGGGCCACGAAACGTATGAGGGGTGTGCCAGAATGAGCCTGGGAATGCATGCGGGCCCTGCCACTGGGGCCTTCGATGAAATTCCCTGTGGGGCCACGGAACGTGTGAGAGGTGTTCCAGACTGGGCCTTGTGGACACATGCGAGCGCTGCAACTGGGCCCTCGGTGGAGCTCCCTATGGGGCCACGAAACGTGTGAGAAGTGTGCCGAATGGGCCTGGAGACGCATGCCAGCGCTGCGACTGGGGCCTTCAGTGGAGCTCCCTATAGAACCACGAACCGTGTCAGGGGTGTGCCGAAGTTTGCCTGGGCACGCATGCGAGCTGCGCCACTGGGACTAAGTTGGAGCTCCATATGGGGCCACGAAACGTGTGAGTGGTGCGCCGAAGTTGGCTAGGGCCACATGCGGTACCCCCCACACCTGGAGCCTTGAACAAAAAACGCGTCCGAACGCCTCTTTCCCTTCCTCCACCTCCTCCCCACCTCCCCTCAACATTCTTCGCCTCCCCCCCCACATCCTTCCCCCCCCCCTCCTCCTCCGCCTCCCATTCCCCCTCCATCCGTCCTGCCCTCCGCCCTCCCCCACCATCCTCTCCCCCCCGTCCTCCTCCCTCTATCCTCCGCGCCTCCACCCCCTCCATCACCCCCTCCCCTCCGTCCTCCCGCCCTCCTTTCCTCTCGTTAACACCAACCCGCCCTCCTCCCATAAATCCTTCCCCCACCGATCACTCCTCCCTTCTCCCCTCCCATCCCTCCTCGTCCTATCCCCCCTGGCCGTCCCCCTTTCCTCTTCCCCTCGATCCTCCCATCGATCTCCCCCTCCCCCTCGTCCTCCCCATCCCGCTCCCTTCCTCCTGCTGCCTCTCCCTGTCCTCAGGCTACACCCCCCCCCGGCCACCCCGAAAGCTGGCGGAGCGGGGCGGTCCCGAGCATGCTGGGTTCTTCCTGCTGCAGCTTCTGCTC